GGACGAGCATGTTGAGGTGGAAGAGGAGGCAGCAGCCAACGAGGAGTTCTACCTCGGCACCTCCTGCAGCAGCCAGTACGCCTTCAACGCTGCAGAGACTGGTAGGGCTGCAGCAACACACACATACTCACACACTGAACTATCCTTATGTCTTCTTTAGCAAAGTGATTTTAAGAGTCAGCATAGAGAAATAAATTCGACACAAAAACGTTCTTCCTCTGCCTGTTTTCTACATCGCCAAAGCAGGTTTGATGTTGAGTCACTGGAAACTTCCACAGAGTCTCATGAACTTAGGCTACCATCTGAGAAGTCAGCTCACTGGAGGCCGCTCTTTTCCAGGTGGCCTGTTTGAAACTGGAGTGAATCTAATATGATGCTAAGCTTGCTCAGCAATGCACAGAATTAATCCTGATCAGTTGCTGACAAGAACACATGCTGATGTAAGCCAGCTTCTTTTAAAAGCATGTTCAACCACGTATGAAAATGCAACATGGCTTCCTTCCCTGTTTTTCCATGTGTGTGCATGTGTGGATCTTTGTAGGTCCATTAATAGTGTAATAGAAGTGTAACTAATATAATAAGTGTGATATTCTCCGGTCTGAGAGTTACGAGCAGATTATATGCAGTTATACACTCTGAAATAGTGCAATGTTATGTGCCAGACTATTTCTTGTGCACAATAGTGATATCGATCTTCTCCTCTAACTCTCAGCAAGAAACAAAAAAATGTATTCCCAAAAATAGAAAAGTTTTAATTCTTTGTACAAACACAAAAATGGATCTAGACTTCACAGCAGTGTTGGTCATAATTAGTGAATCAGTTTATTTTAATCCGTAATATTTGTTGTCTGCATGATTAACCTTACTTAGGTGTGTTTTCTAAGCGTGTTATTTTTGTGTGTGCCTCTCCTGTCTGTTAATGTCTTCCACCATATAATCACTATATGTATTATATAATAACTATAACTGTATGTATTTTGCTGTAGTTTTCCCAGTGCAGCAGCCTGCTGTGACAAACTCCAGCAGCAGCGAGGACGAGGCAGGACGAAGTGGCAGCACTGTTGTCAGAAGACGAAGGTTGAGGAAGAATACCACGAGCATCGTGACAGAGCCGGAGGAGGAAGAGGCACTGGAATCTGACCAGAGTGAGGAAGATGAGGGGCAGCAGGAGGAGCAGGCAGAAGTCAGACCCGCTGGCGTTCCGGATGTCCAAATGCAAGGCCAGGGCAGCAGCATCCTCAACAAGTGTATCCTGATTGCCCTCGTCGTAGCCATCAGCATGGGCTTTGGACACTTCTATGGTAAGAACTGCAGAGCTGGAAGATTTGACAAATATAAAAGTATACTTCATTAAAACTTTCCAGTTGGTAGGAATTAATGTACATAGTGTTTATTACAGCACAGCATCTTCTTCATCTGTGAAGGATCGAGTAAGGGGTTTAAGTCTGGTTATGGCCTCTGGTTTCTCAGATGTGATGTGATACTGAATTACAGAATTAGAAATGTACTTGAATTGTTTGAGTTTCCTTTCCTTAGTTTCCTTGTAGGACCAGGTGCTGTAGATATCTCAGCAGCTCTGGTCTTTGGTGGGAACTACTGTACATTTGTGAACTTTGAACAGTTTGTTCCCCATAACTCTGTTTTATAGTTTGAGTTTTAAAGACGACTGTAGACACTGCTTCCATTACATGTAGACTGGCTCCAACAATGTTTGCAATGTGTAAATAATGTGTTTGTGTTCCAAATGTCACTTACAGGCACAGTCCAGATTCAAGAAAGACAGAAAACTGTGGAGAAAATCAGAGTGAATGAAGTCGATGGTGTGAGGGATCTTCTTCACCGACATGTTCGAGGGCAACCTTTTACAAACCAGGTCAGTGACAACACAAAGCACAAACAATAATAAGCTTGTTTGTGTCAGAATGTACACGACAGTAATCATTAACTTATTCTCTCCCATCCCTTTGAAACAAATACAGAATAAATGTGAATATTGTGATGATGATTTTAAACAATGAAACAATGTTTCAATGTGAGTTTTCTTTACCTCCTTACTCGAATGCTGAATGATTCATATTTTGAGCGACCCTTTCTGCTCACCTTCAACAATCATGACTCATATAACCATTAACTTTAACTTGTTTCTTGATTCTCTCTCTCTGGTTCAGATGGTTGACTTTGGCCTGGATGACCTAGATGAGCAAAAAGTTATTTCACTGCTCACAGAAGTGATTGAGAAGATAAAGAAGGAGAACCAGGAGCTCAGCATCCAACAGGCACACATTCAGGTAACTTGGAGTTCTGTGTATTGTTTTGGTAACAGAATACAAATGCAAGTGTTATAATAAGGAAATATAAGTTACAAGTCAAAACTTCCTTCTTTTTTGTTTCTTGCATTTTTGTTTCACTGTTCAAAAGCTGAATGATTTGAGTGAACTTTGCCTGCCTTCAATAATAATGACTCAAATAAACACCACTGTAAAAGTAGTAAATGTCCCTGTTTTGTTCATTCTTTTCCCATGAAGGCCCAGAAAGATGATCTTGAAATGTTGCTGGATCAGAAGGCTGAGGAGAGGTCTAACATTGTGTCCCAGCAGCAGATGTTGATGGCTGAGAACCAGCTGCTGAAAAGCTCCCTGGAACGTGAAGAAAAGTCCCTGTCCACCTTGCAGGAGGAGCTGAGAAACCTGCGCTCTAAGATCAGAGATCGGGAAGCGATGGGAGCTGGTGTTGACACACTGCTGTCAGAAAACCAGAGGCTGAAAGACCAGCTGGAGGAGGAGAAACAGCTGATCCGAAGCTTCCGTGGCCAGAGGGAAGACATGATGGCTGAAGCACAGACACTGAGGAAGAAGCTGGACAAGGAGAGAAAGGTTACAGATGCGCTGAGGAGAGAGTTAAACCTACTGAGAAGTCACATACCTGGAGCTGGAAAGGAGGCCGGTACAGAGGCAGAAGGGCTACAGTCCCGTCTGATGGAGATGGAGAAAAGACTGAGCTTCGAGCAGCAGCGCTCTGACCTGTGGGAGAGGCTGTACGTGGAAACCAAAGAAGAAAGAGTCAAAGGAGACACAGAGTCCAGAGTGAAAAAAACAAAAGACAGCATGGCGGGGAAAGTGAAAGAGACATTTGATGCTGTGAAGAACTCCACCAAGGAGTTTGTCCATCACCACAAAGAGCAGATAAAGAAAGCAAAGGAAGCTGTGAAGGAGAATCTGAGGAAGTTTTCAGATTCTGTCAAATTAACTTTCCGAAACTTCAAGGACTCGGCTTCGACCTTCATCAACAAAGCCAGAGGTTTTTATGATAAGAGACGTGATGCGAAGAATGCAAAAGAGTCGTGGCAGCACAGATCCCACAAACCTCATCACAGACACACACAAAAATTTGATGACTTCTTCCAGAGCAACACTCGAAAATCAGGAGGTAAAGTTTACGAAGATCAAAGTCAAAACACCAAGAAGTCAAACTTCAAAGGATGCTCTAGTGTTTTCGACTGTGCCTACCAGGAGTCCATGAGTCTCTTCAATAAAGCCATGGAGCCAATCAGAGCGGACGAATTTCACCAGCTGCTGCAGAGTTACCTGCAACAGGAAGTCAACCACTTTCACCACTGGAAAGATCTGGAGACGTTCATCAACAACTTCTTCCACAACGGAGTGTTCATCCACGACCGGATGCTGTTCACAGACTTTGTCAGCGGCGTGGAGGACTATCTGACCGACATGCACGAGTACCACGGCCTCGACGAGGATGTGTTTGGAGACCTTGATGACTACATCTACCGGCACTTCTTTGGAGAGGCTTACACAAAAATCTACGGCCCAAGGTAAGTCTCCTGGGGCTGTATTCACAAAGTGTCGTATCTTATACGTAGGAGTCCCCCTGAATGATGCCAAAAGTTCCCACATTTTCATAAAGCTGTGTAGATTAACTTTCCTCTGGACCACCTCTAACTCTCAGACTAGACTTTTATATCTAAAACACTTTGTAAATAAATTTTTAGACCAAAAAGTAAAAAATAAAAAAAGTATTTAAATTAGGATTGATGTATCCTGTTTCTATGTGTTCCTCCAAACTCAGTCAGTTAGCACAAACTTGGTTGTTTTGTCAACACGACCCCCGTTGTCCTTATCATTCATGCCATAAATGTTTTGTGTTTGAATCCCACAGCGGGCCATTTGAAAGACCAGACACAGACTCAAAGGAGTCGAGGGCGAAGCATCAACAGCGAAAGCAGCAGAGAGCCAAATCTCGCCCACACAGTGAACGCAAGTGGAGCCGATCAGGAAGAAACACAGACAGACACATGGCTGACGTCAAAATAGAACTGGGTCCGATGCCGTTTGATCCCAAATACTGAAAACATCTCGACTGGTTTAATATTATAGTTGCAAATTCTATTTTGGGTTGTACTTCGATGCAAAGTCTCCTCTTTTTTTTTGTAAGTTTGCACAATGTTAACTTTGTAATGCTACTGAATGTCCTTGATCTGTTTGTGTGTAGTGAAGTAATCGCTGCTAAGTTTGAGTGAAAGATGTAGCATCTCTTACATCATCTGCACATTTGTAACAGCATGAGTTCATTCAACATTTTACAAACGTAAAAAAGAAACGCTTTTATTTTGGTCTGTAAACTCTGTACTCGTCTTCAGCCACACTTAAAAATACACATTGAGCAGAAAATGTTAACTGGGAACCAAACTACTGTTAAAAAAACAACAAAGACATGCCACATTTTGGATGTTTCTGTGTAAAGTCACGTAGTTAATTTAAATTTCTAATTTGCTGCTACAAACACAGGTTTGTTTGTTTGACGTTTGTAATTTGCAGTTTTCTAACATTCCACCTTGAGCTTGTTTTAACTGGACCTGGCAGTTTAGTTTTTATTTACGTGTGTTTAAAAAAAAAAAAAAAGAAATAATTATGTCACACCAAATTTAGTTGTGAATAATTAAAAACACATTTGAGACATCTGACAAGAGATATTTCAAAGAAACATTTGTGTTTTCAATGTTTATTTCAGTAGTAGATCATATATGACATCACGATTAAGGAAAACAAATTGCCATTGTTCCAGTGTGTCAGTGCCTTTCATAAATAAAGATGCTTCCTCCAACTCTTCCCTCAGGAAAATGAGTATGAAATATCTCTGCTGTCCTCACAAAGTTGTTCCCTTGCAAAAACACGGAGATTTCCTACAACGACAAAAAAAAACACGTTAAAGTCGCAACCGTTAAAGTTTTATACCAGGAGAAATATCATCTGTGAACATCTTTACCTTCTCCAAAACATCAAACAAAACCAGATGGGTTGGTAGAGAAGATTTGTATGGAAATGAAGTCCTGAGCCAGGGGACAGGTTTGGCGTAGAATCTGTCGGCTTCTTCGACGTAACCTTCCTCTCCGAGATCTGGAGGACACTCAAGAAACCTCATCTTCATCGGGCAGTGGACGTGGCTACAAAGAGAGGATCATCAGTTTGAGTACAACTCAAGTTAGGGAGTTATTATAGTCGACACAAATCCATATTCAGATACATCGAGCTAGAAGAGCTGGGAATATATATATATATATATATATATATATATGTACAATTGATAAAACACCTAAAGTTCCCTTTAATAGTTGTTCTTGAGCTTTCGACTGACTCATTCGGTTCTCATCAGGAGGTTTTTAGCACAATTACTGTGGAACGTGTTAAATGGTCGAAAGCCTCAGAACAGCTACGAAATGGAGCTTGAGGTGAGATTATTTTGTCAATTTGTTTCCAAGGTCAAGAATGAACTTGAACCACAACAGGTGGGCCAGTTTTATACAAGTTTCCTGAATTTATATTTTCTTGTACAGATTTAAAATCAGTTTTTGCCATCAGGATATTCAAACACTTTTGTAAGGAAAACTCAACACTAAGGGCTAAACCGACCTGTAAAAAGGCGTTGAGTGGCAGGGCATGAGGAAGAGTACGTCTGGTGGCGTGGAGACGCTGCTGATGTTACAAAGTGTCTGGAGATGACTCATGACGTCCAGAGTGCCTCGCTGGTGGATCAGGCCGGTGTACAGAGCTGCAACCAGGTTACTCACTAACAAGACGGACGCAGCAGCTCGGCGCCACGCTTTTAAATTAGCCAAAGATATCCCTGTAGTAGTAGAAGAAGTGTTACAACAAACATCTGGCTGGTTCATTCGCACAAAGAGAAGTTTGTTGTCAAACTGAGGACTCACCAGAAAAGATCATACAGAATGGCAGCACCGGATAGATGAATCTGAACTCCTTGTGAGGGAGCAAACTGAAGAGAACAAACAGATTAGTTTGTCTGCAGAGCACAAAAACATCTCGACAGACCAGGATCAGAACTTATGAGAGGGCCCCTGTTATGTGTCCTATCAATATTATTACATATATTACTCTGATTACAGGTCGCAGCTCACCAATAAATACAGAAATACACCAACAGAGGCAGATAGAAGACGACAAGTAAATATGGACGTAAACAGGCCGCTGCGGCAGACTCAGCCCCTGTAGCTCTAAGTTATCTTCTAAGTTTGATAAATACGATTCTATGAATGTGAACATTTTACCTGTAAACCACGAGTGTCCAGACGACTGCTGCCAACAGAATCTTGTATCTTTTAAAGGCGAGGGTGCACCCGTGAAGAAAGAGAGGAAGATGAGGACCGATCACGACAGCAAAACCCTGAGTGAAGTACCAGTGCCAGGGATGAGAGCCGTAGAAATCAGCCACACCGTAGAAGATGTTAAACTTCAGGAAGTTAAACTGGACCATGGTCCACTGGAAAAACAGAGAGAGAAACTTATATTTGACTTCACAAGCAGAAGTTACTGTGTTTAAATGTGGATTTAAAGTTTTACCTCCTCATAGAAGATACAGTCGATCAGTGTGGAAATCACAACAGCCACGGCTCTGGAAAGGAGGGAAAAGAGAGATTATGTGATAAAGACACAAGCATGAAATACAGATGTTGAGCTGACGAGAGATTAAAAGTACAAACCCGATAGGAAGGAAGTTATGAGTGATGAGTCTCAGTTTGTTATCTTCCTTCCAGAAATGGTACGTCAGCAGAGGAACCCAAACAATCAGAGCTGTCGGTCGGACAACGACCGCCAAGGCAACCAGGGTCAAATACGTTTTGCTAGAAAAACATAAACAGTGTGTCTGTAAATAATCTATTTTTAGAGAGAAGATACATTAAAAAAAGGTAAAGATATGACGAGTCCAGACCTGCTGTGTGTTTTGGACCCAGGGAGGGGGAAATAAAAAAGAGCCAAAGAGGTGAGGGTGGTCTCCATGCTGTTGGTCAGAGTCCTGGTGCAGCAGTACCACGAGAACCACGAGCACAGATGACAGAAGAACTAGAAGAAGAAGAAACAGTGATGCAGGTTGAGTATTTGAGAGCGGAGACTGTGTGAGACCTCAAGGAAGAGACATCAAATGATTGTGATCAGACCAAGATTATTAGTAACTATTACTAAAACTAAA